TCACATCCTGATGGTCAAGTAGATTAAGTCTCATCTCAGAAAAGCCAGCTCTGCTTGCATATTAGGCACTTAGGGCTCCAGAGCATCACAAGGATTCATACAGGTGCCCTGCATAGAGCTGCTGTTGGAAAAGTAACTTCCCGACGGCTTTACCTGTGTGTCATGACTTTCCCTTCAATCCAGTAGCTCAGATGAGACAAGCATTCCCCTGCAGAGGGGACCAGAATTGCCACCCTTAGTTTCCTTAGATACAGTCACAGGAGGGAAACTGTGCATTTTCTGCAGAGAATACAGGAAATAATGTTTTTCCTTCCTTTCAGTCACACTGACAGCAACTGTTAGAGCCTCTTGTGAGCTGAATCCAACACTGAGCTGGCAGCTGAACAGCATCAGGGGCAGTCGCTATGCTTTATCTCCACTGTGCAAGTGAGCAGGGTTTTCCCCTGGGTCAAGCTTGTATGCATGCTCTGCGCTAAGTACCTGTTCCTGGCTAGTGTCACGGCCAGGTTACCTGCCCAGACACACTGTCCATTTGCTTTCCTATTCTTTCCTTAGACTCTTACTGAAAGAAGCTACTTGTGTCCCAGTCCTAAAACCAAACTGGGATGGATACCTGCCTGGCATATCCCTCAAGTCTTCTGAATAGAACTCTCACTCACAACCTCTCCTGTGGCTCCCACATACATCTGCCACTGGAGAAGAGTTTAAAGTTTCTACTCCTTGTGTTGAACCAAACATTTGCTCCCAACAAGAAAACATTTCTGTCCAGAAGACAGCAGCCTGACACTGGAAGAAAACCCTCTCATTACATGCTTCACCTGGTACTGGTTTCCACTGTTCATCTGCCAAAGCAAACTGGCATGACACCAAGTTCTCCTTCAGTGAAACCCATTTACTGTCCAGTTATTAAATGTAAGTCACCACCAGTTAGTCCAGGATATGTGAAGTAAACCAGCAGAATATCTTTGTCCAGCAAACCTTTAGGCTTTGTTGTGGGGCGGGTATGTCAGCTCCTGCAAGCTTTCTCTAACGGATGGTCAAAGGGGTGGAAGGCCACTTGGCGCAGACTAGAACAGCCTTGAAAAGCCACCCATGAAGATGTGACAGAGGTTTATAACCCAGGGGTGGCACAGAGATGGTGTGATTGTTCCCAAGACACTGAACCCTGCAGGATCAGACTCAGCCCTGAATTCACCTTCCAGCTTTCAGGGTTGACTCCTGACACAGCTGCTAACTCCCTCAGTGACTATTCACTAGCCAGCACACCTATTTCTGCTGAGTATCATTGGGAAAGCAATGTTTGCCTTACTACAAGGGAGACTGAAGCTTAAATAACCCCAGATAAGCACTACTAGAGGGAAGTTACAAGCGGAAAGGGAGGTAATTGCACATATACCCAATTCACAGAGATGCTTAAGCACATGCTTTAGTTAACGATACAAATAATCCAGCAAGACTTTGCCATCCAAAGAACTGAAGTACATTCTGAAATTACCACTCCAGTAGCGCTTACAACACGCAGACAACAGCCTGTCTCCCCAGCACACGAGGGGGTGTGTGCAATGCTGTCAGTAAGGGGGCGGGTGGGAGGTGTGTGTGCTTACAAGCAGGAGCAAAAGCACTCTGTTTTGTAGGGCCCATTTCACCAGGATAGGAGTTAAGGTTTGCATGTGCTTAAGTAACTCCTGACATAGTCCACACAACAGAGCCCAGGTCTAAGACAGGAATACAAGAACCAGAACATGTGAACCAGTTAAATTATGGCACTTCAGCTCGAAGTATTTCTCAGCAGTTTGGGGGCCAGAGGAGGGGATTCTCTACCATGGGTGGATCTCCCTGGCTCTCACACTGAACCTGCCTGTTTCTTCGTTGCTTAATGAATGAGGCTGGGACCGTGCCATTGCCTGGATGGGGGAGCTCTGTCCCTGCCTCCCACCATGCCCAAGCCAGTCATCCCAACCACCATGGGATATTTCTGCTCTCATGACCACTGCCTCCCTCCAAACACTGCTGCCCAGAGCCAGCCCTCTCACAGGCCTCCACCCCAGGCAAGCATCACCAATAACCAGTGGAGCCTAGTCCCCATGGACACACTGTGGCCAGGGACCGTGTGCCACCACTGGTAATTTAAAAGGTGAGCCCATGTCTCCCACCATGCAGCCCCTTATCCACTCATCCCAGCCCATCTGCACTCAGGGCAACACACAGCCCTGGATTAATACTTTGCAGGCTCCGACAGGAGTTTGCAACTTGTAATTCAATAAAGCCCAAGCAGCAATGATGCATTTGCTGCTGTGATGACTGCAGGCTTCAAGCAGCTGCATGGTTATTGAGCCTCCCAAATTACATAACAATTATGTATGCTTACATCAAAATTACCTTGCAATCTTTGCATTGCCTGGCAACATTTCTCCTTCAGTGTGCACGAACTGGTGTGCTTTTCCTCTTAATCACATAGTAATTGCCATGCATTTAGCCAGAACACCATTTTTAACTTCCATTTGCTAATAAAATAAATGGTTACTCAATAGCCCAAAATAAAGCATCCTATTGTTCCTGTTGCTTGGGCATCCTATAATTTATTACCCACTTTCACTCCGTCTGCCTAGGACTACCCACACTTTACTTTTATTTAATACTATCTTCAAAACTCCAAGTCTCCTCTGAGCAGGGATGTAGTGCCAGCAGCATCCAGCACAGCAGAGCTTGGCTCTCCCAGCTCAGGCAAGCAGGTTCTCCTGCAATATGAATGCTAATGAGAATATAAAAAGCTGCAGTCTTCACCCTTCCAACTCTACTGGAAAAAGTCTTGAGTTTCCCATTCATATACACATTCCCACCAGCTTCCTGACTGATTTTGGCAGCACCTGGAAGCTTCTGGACTGTCCCAGGCTTGCAAACATTGATTTTATTTCCACCCACTTGTTTTAGACGAAACCAGAGGTGGTGTTTGTATTGCAGTGTGGAGATGGACCTGGGCACTGCAAACCACCCTCCTCTGCCTCAGCAAGGTCTATAATACTCAGAGACTTTTCTTTGCAGGTGTCTGAAACCAGGTGAGCCTTCAAAAGCCTTAAAGAAGTGAGGGGCTTGCCCTGGCTCGGAGGAGCAAAAGGTTGCAGGGGCCACTGGAAACCCATGAAATGAGGCAGAAGTGGCTCAAAGCTCTACTGCAGTATGAAATGTCACTTTGGAGTTTGATGCTGCTACATGCTGGCTTTTTGAAAGCACACTAAAAACAATTCCCTCTGGTTTATTAAAGGAGCAGGTTCTTATTTCCTAAGGTTGAAACAGCTGGAAAGGGTAATTCCTTCTGGTTCAAACTGGTGACCTCATTATTTTGTTTGCTGCCCCTTAGTTCTTGTGGTTTTAGATACAGAGAAGATTCATCCCCTGTTCATCACCTCCCTGACAGTTAGGATTTTATCAGCCTTTGTCATATTACACTTTCCCATAATAATTTTAAAATCTTAAGAGCTTTAGTCTTTGTACATGAGATGTTCCAGCACCATCCTGATCACCCTTCTTAGGCCCTTCTCAGTTCTAGAGAGCCATTTCTAAGACAGGTTGAGCTGACTTGCACAAAATACTCAAGGTACTCCTTGCCTGTACCTAAGAGTCTTCCAGATCCAAATCACTGTATAATGACATTTTTTGTTTTCTTCTCTATTTCATACCCAATAATTTCCCAAACCTTGTTAGCTTTGCTGAATGGCACTAAGTAATGGGCTGGCATTCTCAAGAGAGCCATCTAGAATGAAGCCTGAGTGAGAATACCTAATTTAGAGCCCATCCCCATGCACATATCTTTAGTGGTGTTTCTCCCCCTCATGCATTACCCTGCAGTCAGCAACTGAGAAAAATGAATTTTTATCATTCCATCACTTGCTATTGTGGCATCTTCCTCCCAGACTTCACAGTCAGCTCTAACAATGACCATTCTGTATAATTAGATGTCATCACCAACCTCTCTTATTGTACTCTACCCTTTTACTGGTCACTCAGGAATACATTGAACAACCCAGGCCACAATATGGATTCCTGTTTAACTGCACTAGTGGCTTTTCTTCATTGTGAAAGCTGTATTCCTACTTTCCTGACTGTTTAGTCATTAATCCACAAAAGGCCATTCATCCAAAGAGACTTATGAGGTTCTTTATGGGCTACTGTTAACGGATATAATCAAAAGCTATTTGGCAGTCAAAACACAATTAAGTAACAGGATCATCTTATCTACATGTTTGTTTTCTCCTCTGGAAAACTAACAGATCTGTAAGGCATGAATTGCTTCTGCAAAATCTGTATTGTCTCTTCCTCCTTATATTCAGCCCTCTAACCATGGTCAATTCTTTAGTGCATCAGTGTGCAAAAGCAGCAGTCAATGATGAGATCACAAACTCTACAAAAGGGCTGTCTACAAGGAGGACAGCAGAATCAAACAGGCACAGAGACAAATGCAGCTCACCAGCAGTTTCACAATGCTCCCAGCTGGTACAGAAGCAGTAGCTGCAGACCAGCCAGCTCATGGGTATCTCTCGCACATGAGACCACTGCATGGGTCCTGGCAGCACCCTGTGCATGAACTGCTCCAGTGCAAGTAGCTCAGGTGAAGGTATAGGCAGGGCCCTAAGATGAGTGAGCAGCAGGGGATCCAGGTTGGGCCTTATTTACTTTGTTCCAGCTGTATCTAACTGGCTCAGTCCATGTCACTACAAACACCCATTTTCTGGCTCTGCTATTACCTTCAAAGACACTCTCCAGAAGGAGATAAACAGAAGAAAAAAGGAAGCAGATATTTACCTAATGTCCTTTCCAAGGAAAGCCAGCTCCCCACATCTGTGATACTGCCTGGGTAAATCTGAGCTCAGAGGGCCACCACCAACTGCAAACCCCATCACATGCAATTAGAGGAGACCTCTCTTGCTCAGCTGAGTCGAAAGGCTTCTCCCCAGCTGAGCAGGAGGCTCTGCAAAGCTGCTGTCAGTGCTGGTGGTACTCACAGTACTCGATGCCCAAGACGATATCTCGGAAGTAGAGCCGAGCCTGCTCCTCACTGAAGGGGTTGTCACTTGGTACCTCCATGACAGGCCTGTTAGGAAGAGGGAAAGCAACTAAGTACTTTGCAGAATGGCACTAACATTCCTTACTGGAGGAGTTGCACATTCTCCATCACCACATCTCCACCACTGAGGGCCACAGTCCCAACAGATTCTGGGTGCTGTGTCATGGGATGGAGGCATGACCATCCCTTCTGGACATGGTGACACCAAGGTTAGTGAGCTCAGCTAGAGGTGGCAGGTGGCTTTTCACAATCCCTGAAGCCAGTGTGAGCCACAGCGCCCTTGTCAACATCAGGATTAACTGCTGCTGGCTGCACAAAATAATGCAAATACTATTCACTCAGGGTACTAGTGGGAAAAGCAGAGTGAAAGAACAAAACTGGATCTGGCCTTAGGTTTCTTGCCAAAGCTACTCATGGCTGTGAGCACCAGCACCACAGGGAGGTACCAGGCAGCAGTGGGGAAGGAGAGCCCGTTCCTATGTACTGGATGTCTTGTCTGCTGGGGCTCAGTCCTGAAGCAACACCAGCATGCAGCTAGCCTAAACCAAGGCAGAATCCAGAAGCAAACTCCTGGCTCAAAGGTTAAGTGGGAATGTTTCTAGTGCATTGTGCTAAACTGCTTTGAAAACCTATTTAGCTGTTCAGGGATCAGCCATTCAGCCCTGAACAGCCAAGGTTACCTGGTCAGCTTCTCCTCTCCCTTCCTTTGTATGCTTCCTTTGTATGCTTTCCACTGCTGAGAGATGCACAGTATCCTCTAAAAGCCCCTCCTCTGCCTGTGCCTGAGGGCAGAGGCTGTAAGAGCTAGTCAGCATCTTCTGTTCCCCAGAGGAAGAATGGCAGGAGCTAAGGGTGGTTAGTCCCACTTGTGCTCAGCAGCTTGACCTTGCATTTGGACATATGCCCACTGACTTGAGCTGGATTTAAGCGAGTGCTTCTGAGACACTGTCCTTGCAACCAAACCCTGGTGAAGAGCCCATCTCTGATCCAGGGAGAGAACCAGGCTCTGCGGCTCTTCCCCTTAGCACCCAGCAGCAAATCCTCCCTGCAGCATTGCTCCCTCCTCCCCTGCTGCCCATTTGATTGATGACCATCTCCCATTTGCATTTTCCTGCCACTGCCTTCTCTCCCTCTTTCCGCACATTTTCCTGCTGCTGAAAGCAGGGAGAAATAATGTGAGTGGCAGGACTGGCAGAGCCACTAATGGAGTCTAATTGCCTTCTGCTAGAGGCAGACAGGCCACACTGCACGTTCCTTGGCCACAGCTGATTACAGGAGCTTCCCCTTGGCCCCCTCTCCTACAGGGTAGACATCAGCCTTGTCACCAGGGAGACTGGGGAGCCTCTCACCAGCAACCTGCTGGAGCTGGCAGCCTGCAAGAGGCTCGCTTATGGGAGCAGAGGGAAAATTAAGCCTTTTGGGAATCTCCCCCATCCTGGCAGAGCTCCCCTGAGCTCTCTGTGACTTTGCAGAGCTGCAGAATCAGTGCAGGAGCAGCAAAAAGCAGTGAGAGACTCCCATCACCTTATCACTTCTTCTGCAATGGAAAAACAAAACAGCCTCCCACACCACCTTAGTGGTAGGGGCAAAGTAAGGCAATGGGTGGCAGTAAGTGTTGATGCAACCTTAGACCACTTGTGCCAGAGGAAGCCACGATGTGGCTGTTACCCAGCAGAGTATTGCCATTAAAACCTTTTCTTCCAGGCACCTGATGGGGAATTGGCTTCCAATTTGTTTTCCAGACCAAAGCCTGACACGAGGAGATGCCCTCCAGCCCATCGCTATTCACCACATCGTTCCATGCTGTAACAGAGCAAAACAGCTGGATTTTGCCTCCTCTGCGCTGGCCTGCAGAGAGCAGTTTGCCACTGCACATATTAAACCTCCATTTCACCTAGGAAGCTAATGATGAACACCAAAACTCTCGACAGAAGGAATCCCAGGAGGGCTACTTACCCTTTCCTCAGGAGATCAAACACTGCAAGAAAAGGAAATCAAACCATGAATGAATCAGAAGAGGAGACTGGGCTTGTTTTCTCACCACCTACAAAAACACATCCATTCCCATACCTGCAAAATCAATTTCTCTCCAATTCACTTCTCTTCCCTCACCCATGTCAATGAAAATATTCATCTCTCCAGCAAACACAAACATCTCCCACCCCTGCCGGCTCCACGCAGGGAGGCAGTGGGTGCTAATTTATCAGCCACATCTCTGCTGCTCCCAGTGCTTCTGTGAGTCCTGGCTCCTTCAGTACCTCCAGGGAGGCTGTTTGGTGTGATATTTCTGCTAAATTGCTGATGCTCAAGGAGCTGCTGTAAGAACATGTTGCTCTATTTCTGCTGTGTCAGTCAGCAGCACAGCTACATGGCTGTCAGAAGCAAACACTCCCTGGCAGGAGGAACTGGAGGGGATTTGTTGGTGTGAGCTGAGGTTTGTAGAGCACATCAGTTTTTGTGTCTGATGAGCGGGTCAGTGGCAATGTGGTTTTCTGACCCCATCTCCTGCAAACAGGCTCAGGATCTGCTTTACCTAGTAGGAGAGCTCTTTCCTCAGGAATTACTAAGGGGGTTCTTTGCATCTCCCAAGCAATCCAGTCAGACTGCCTTCCCCAGAGCACCAGGCAGCCCTGCTTACACCTGCAGTGCTGGACCAGCTGAAGGTCCAACCACAACAAGGCAGCCTGCGTTGGCTCATCTTGCTCTCCAGGCTGAAGAAGCTGCAGCTTGTGGCAGCATTTCAATATTCAACCATCCTCTGGCATTTCAGGTTGCCCAGTTCCTCCTGGCACCCTCCATCCGCTGCTTTCTTCCCAAAGAGCATGCAGCAGAGTGCTCACAGCAGTACTTCATGCCAGCAGTAACCAGCAAAGAGCAATCTCCACTTTCTCTAGCGTAGCTCTGTAGCGGGAGGCATTTTTGGAAGGAGGAAGGTGCAGTTCTCATTGGCTGGGTCAGCAGGAGGATGGAGGAAGCCCACTTGCAGAAGGCTCAGTCCTCAGCAGTGCTGAGCACCCGCAACTTCTCCTTGCTGCTGACAGAGCTGCAGAGGCATTGACTTCGCATTGCTTTGACTGAACCACTCATGGGATCCCAGGCAGAGCAAATGGGAGCAAAGAAGTGATGGGGCATGGACAAGAGAGACACAACCACTACCCCCTGCCCAGGGACCAGTGCAACCTCCCCAGGAGCCCCAGTGGGACCAAGAGATTTCCCACTTGTCCAGCTGCTATTGCTGCCAGTTCTGAAATCTTGCTCCACAACAGGTTGGGGTTTGAGGTTGGTTGGTTTGGTTTTTTTTTTTTGTTTTCTTCTTTGCTGCAGCTGTTTTGAATTCCTCATGCATTTATTTTCATTCAACAAAGCTTGCTACCTCATTTCTCCCCTTCTCTCATCCCTAGGAGTTCAGGCCTTTAAACAAGAGCCTCAGCTGCCCTCCCCATCACACAAGCATCAGCCTTGGCTGCTGCTTTGAGATGCTCCCGCAGTGCCACTGGGGTTCCAGCCGGAAGGGAAAAGTGGCCTTTCAAAGGCAAATAGCTTCATTTGCGAGGCAGAGCCCCCTTTCACAGGCAGCTTCAAAAGCATCCCATAACTATTTCATGAGAAGCAACCTTTGAGCCTGTCTCATGAGGAAACATTACAGGGAAGCAGAGACAGAAGAGGGTCAGCCATTCCCCTCCTCTGGGCCATCTCATAGGGATGAGGAACCATCCCACACCCTTCCTTTTTCTCCCAGCTCTAGGACTGGAACTGACGTAGTCTGACATAGCCTCTGTCACATCTTCCTTTGTGTCCCCATGTCAAAGGGAGGTGCACAGCTGTACAAAGACACAAAGCTGCCTTACTCTACTGCAAGAGGCCCTTCCATCCCACTTGCCTTTAGAGGCATTTAACCTTTCAGAAAGGATAAGTCTGCTGAAGTTGGTACAAGTTTCCTCTCAGTACTGACCCCAAGCCCTGCTACCTCCATCACTATGTCTAAGCCCAGACAGTTCTGGTAGCATACAACACATACCCATGTACAAGTTGTCCTCTGCAGGATCATCAAGGACCTGTAATGGATAACAGAGAGATAAGGGGAAAGGGGGAAAAGAAAAACTGCAGAAAGAATAAAAAGGAACATTTTCCTGCTCCCTGTACCCTGTGCTGAGCTGCAAAGCACTGAGAATGCCTCAGGCTGGTGTTGAGATACTCCTGCAGAAAGAAGGGCTTTGAAGGACACATTTTCCTGCCTCCATAAAAATCTGGGCTTCTGCCTGTATTTGGAGAAACAGCCTCCCAGTAAAGGCACTGTGTAACTTGACCTCAGCCACTAACAAAAATGACACCAAAGCCTTGCACTTGTGCACCATCCCACGCTGGGCTACACACAAGTCTCACAGGTCAAAGCTTGCTGGTACTTCCACAAGCACAGCTAGCTGCCTTCTCCTGGGCACCAGTCCAAAGGCCAAGGTAAGTCTGTCAGTTTGACATATGTGATTGGGATGATCTTGCTTGGTATCACCAGCCTACATTTCTGAATAACTATTTTAAACCAATTTTGGCTCAAGTAGGAGCAGCTGAAGAAGGAAGAAAAGAAACAGACTTGTTTCTGTGTAGGGTGGAGGAGCAGCTCACCTCTATCAGCTTAACAATGTTGACATGGTCCAGTTTCTTTAAGATGGCTATTTCCTGATAAACTCTCTCCAGTGGTGCCATGGGTTTTGGCTGTTCTCCAGAGGATGCTTTCGACCCTCTGGGAGGTGGCCGACCTGAAAGTGGGATAACGTGGTGAAGAGCAGCTCACTTCTCAGCAGCACCTGGCATGCAGGAGTAAAGAGCCACTGCCCCCTCTGTGCAGATACCTCCAGCTATTCTGGAAGATCTCATCACCTTGTTAGCATCCCAAAGCATTACAGTCTCCAACTGGAACTGAGATTTAAAAGCCCCATTCAGACCAGATTCCCAGCATGGTCTCTTTGCCACGTCCCACAGACCAGCCACTGAAGCCAGGTGCTATCTGAGAGGGTAGAAGAGCCCCTGGGGAGGAGGGGGTCTATCCTGCCCAACTGCCAGTGCTTAATTAGGCTTCATAGATGGTGAATGGAAGAGTCAGCACTTCAAAGAGACTCGATATCAAAGCCAGGAACCTAATTACTGGTACACTGAATTTCCCTGTGGTTGTGCCTCACCTTCACTACCCACTGCATTTTAAATGGCTCCCAACTACTTGGGCAGCTTTCAAACTAGGCCAAGCTCTGCAGTCCTTGCAGATAAGGTTTCTACAGAGGTTTTCCTGGCTCAGGACAACAGGCAGACCTCTAAATGCGAGATACCCACGTGGAAATCCATACTGCTTCAAGAGCTTCTTTTTGGAGAGGACTTTCATGGCCTGAAGGAAGAAGGAAAAGCAGTGTTAAAACTGAACAAGAGCCAAAGCACTCATGGCTGTGACACAGGAATCTGCTGGGCATCAGGGACTGGCTCAGGTCTGTTCTTCAACCTAGAGGTCTCCTGGTTAGTGGTGGCCACAACAGACTCACACATGCTGACCCAGGCTTTCCTAAAGGCACTGCTAACCATTGGTTTCATTCATCTTTTTCCCCTGAAAAAGAAATTGTTTGGGCTCCTTTGTCCAATTTAAAATAAATCAAGATTTCTGCATTTGGGGCAGAAGCTTGAGGGAAGAGGTGGCTTCCTTGAGCTGACCTTTATGTCCCTGCTGGTTTGGATGATGCTATGGCCATGCTGCACGTCAGAGCCACTTCAAGGCTGCTCCACCTCAGTTTTGCTTTGCCCAAGGGTCTAGGAAGCAAAAGAGCTGGAGACTTATGGCCATACAGTGAACACCCTTGCAACCTACTGCACAGACCTGGAACAGGACAAGCACACAGCCCTTCCACCAGTTCTGTGCTGCCTGGGGACACCTTTGCTATTCCCAGGCACTATTCTTTAGCCCCATAAACCTCTTCCATGCTGCCAGAACACGTGCAGTGTGATCCAGCATCATTCCCAAGGCTGTGAACGGGATATTTTGTGGGCATCCATCCCTGCACCATCAGAAACAGAGCATCCAGCTCTGTACAGGAGCACAGTGAAAGCACAGGGAAGGAAGTGGGTTTTTGCCAATGGCTTCCCTCCATTCTCATACCTGATTGACGCTGGCACTGCTGTGAAGCCAGGAAGGCAGCTGAGCTGTGGGAGAGGGTCACGGTAATCTCTTCTGCCATCCACACTGGCATTAGCATAGTGGCAAAAGGCAATGTGAATTTAATAAGCAGTTTCTGTGCCTCCATCTGCTCTCTGCATTAATAACCTTTTTGAGGGCCACTCCAACAGCCCCGAGTGGTCCAGCAGATAAATATTTCATGAGAAACCAGCTTATGGTACAATTTGCTTAGGAAAACAGCCTGTGCTCCCGGGAGCTGTGATGGTCACTCCCCCCCTCCTCCAGGATTGGTACTTACTCCTATTCATTAAGCATCCAAATGTATAATTCACACTGGAGTGATCCCTGCAAAATATAATCAGGCAAGGAGGGTGCAGGACACAAAGGCCAAGGAATTCTGCATTAATACCATGGAGGCAGGCTCCCTGCACACTACCTTCTTTCAACATGTACACCAGGAGCAGGCCACTGAACCCACTTCAGCAAACTCCTTCCCAAGCTGTTTTTCCTGGCAGCGATGCCACTGCATACTCCAGGATTCCCACCTCCCATCAGTGCTCCATCTGCAGCCAGGTTCATGGCTCCCTGGAAGGATTGTTGGGTTTGGTCCTGATCCACTGAAATCCTCTGGATTTGCACCGATGTAATTGAGAAGAGACACTGTAGTTCTCAGTCCTGCCTGACAGCTCCTGAGCCAACTGTTGGAAACAACAGTGTTGAGAGACAGACTCAGAGTGCTTATCTTGTACTTAGCACAGTGCTGGGGCCAATACACACAGCCAAATGATTCATGGTCTGCTGAAAGACGATGCAAGATGTGTGCAGCCACCTCCAAGGACAGCCAGGACCAAGCCTGGAGGACTTTCTGTGCTCCCCACTTTTATCCCTCCATAATGAAAATCTGTGGGAAAACCAAAGGAATTGGTGCACCTATTCCTGTTCCAACCATCACCAGCCTGGGAGGAGAATCAGAATCACAGAATGGTTTGGGTTGGAAAGGACCTTAAGCTTATCCAGTTCCAACCCCCTGTCATGGGTAGGGACACCTCACACTAGCCCCTATTGCCCAAGGCTCTGTCCAGCCTTGCTCTCCTTGCTCCTACCCCACCTTGAGTCCTACCTGCCTTCTAGAAAGGAGCTTTAGGAAAAGAAGAAATAGAGGATGCAATTTGCTGCTTGCAGCTCCCAAGTTGCATCAATGCTTGGAGGCAGGCTCTGGGGAAAGGTTGGAGGGAACAGGAAGGTACAGAGAGGACCAATAGCTCTTAGGGACAGAAATGGAGGGAACGAGCTACTGATGTCACCCAAACTCCTCAAAGGATGCTACGAGGGAGAGATGAGTGAGGATTATTGTCTCATGAGTGAGCTGACTGCAAACCACATGTACTGCTGTGGAAGAAACACCAGGATGTGGTTATACCAACCTCAAAGCACCAGTATCTGCTGCTACACAAGCATGGCCAGATCAGAAGAGAGGAGCTGTCCCATGGGGGATGAAGTGCAAACTTCATCACGCAACAGCCAGAGCCACTTGATTATCACAAGAGCAGAGAGGAGAGCACACAGTGGAGAAGCCCCACTTTAAAGTACAAGCTGGCAGGACAAAGCTTCCTCACTGAACTGTGGCTGTGCATGATGGGAGCAGCACAGGGATGCTTCAGCAAACATCTCCTCCTGGGCTCACATGGATGAGAGAGCCAAAGATAGTTGTACTCACAGGCAGAGCTAATTACCCAGGTAATGCCTTCCTTATAAAGAACCAGCTCAGAGCCAAGCTGAGGGATCTTCCCTTTGCACTGGCAAACACTGCTTCAGCTTCCTCGGGCAAAAGAGAGAGCCTGGAGGAGATTTCCTCCACACATGCCCTTGTACCCACCTTCCTTCCAACTGTTCACACATGGATGGGGTCTGGATATACCCTCTTGAGAGGCAGCAGGAATCATGTGCTTTTCTTTGTTGTGTGGTTATTATTTAAGCTTACTGCTCTCCTCCTAGCACCACAGGGAAGCTGCCTGGGGGAAAGGTGATCCCAGGTTTATGGAAAAGGGGGATGCCTGGGTTACAGCAGCTTTTGCCACAGCGAGACCTCGATCTGCTGGTAACAACAGCAAAATAGCCATTAGTTGCAGGAGGGAAGGGTGATAAAATGGATTGAGCCAATGGAACTTACCAGCTGTCCTTTGCTCTGTTCTCACAGCACTTAAGATGTCACTTTATCTGCTAACAGAGAGACCTGCATTGCAAGGGCAGAGACCTATGCACAGTCCCTACCTGCAGCCCCCAGGGTAGTGAGATGTTGCTAAAAGGTTCCTACAAACCACCTAAATCCTCTGCTAGTGCATGACAGCACCCTGCAGAAATGGTGTGCAGACCAGAGAACATTTCCAGCCCTTCCTTGCCTGTCCTGACAGCAACATCCCTCAGATAAAGTGGCTAAGAAGGAAGCTCTGGCAGGAGAGAAGAGCGCTATGCAGCTGACAGTGGCTCAGTAGCTGTTACATGAGCAAGAGGATGAGAGCCCTGCCTTCCCTTCCCACCTGGATGGTGACCAAAGTGGATTCTCCAGGGGCTAGAAAGTTCTGGGCTTGCTGCTGGCCACCTTCTCCTCTGCAGCAGCACTTTGCTCAGCTGTTTCTTTTCACAAACTTGCAAGGTACTTCTCCCCATCGTTGAGAGCTGGTAGAAAGCAGCCCTCCATGCAAAGGTTGTCAGGTACAAACAGAGGCAGAGAGCACAACCACATAAATCTTGTTTCTTAGGAAACCAGATTAAAAAAGAAGAAAAAGGAAAAGAGAAGCCCACTGACAACATACAATGCTATTGCTTTTGTCCAGAAGTAGCATAACAAATGTACATCATAACCACTTTTCTTTGCAAGCTGATTTAGAGATTGAAACTAGGAAGCAGACATGGCCTGAGGCATCACAGAATCAAATTCCATCAGCACAATGACTCCAAACTCGATCACCATCTGGACACATTTGCCTTTGCTTTTTATTTACTGCTTTTCCACAGAGCTTGGCTTTTCTTTTTTCCCCGTGGTCACTGTCGAAGCATCTCCTGCAAACTGAGACACTGAAACCTTTCCAGCTGTAAAGGCTTCCTTGGCAGAGCCCCACAAATGCTGGTGTAACACCTTCACAAGCCCCAGCAGCAGCAGTAGGAACTGAGTGCAGTGGCAGGGCCCACTGCATCCCAACAGGGTGTCCTCCTAGGAGACAGCACTGAGTCACACACTTCATGTTGGAAGTTCCATTTCCTCGGCCTAATACATTCCCTGCATCCACTGATGTAAGTCAGCACGCTTTCACAGCCCTCCACAGCGCTGCAGTCCTTCACAGGGATGAAGGATAAAGCTCTTGGAAGCACTCTCTGATCTTTACAAAGTAAATACAGCCCAATCTACACTTTCCCCAAATGTGATCAGCTTTTCTTTTTCCTTAAGAGTTTTTCCTAATTCTAGGCCAGCTCCATAACGCATTCAAGCAACAGAAATCTTCCCTTTTGCTTTGACAGGAGCTAGGTCCACTTCCTGGTACCTATAAACTGCCTTTTCTATGAGAGCCAGCAAAGGGCCTCAGCCTCAGCAAGAACCAGGAGGCACGCTCTGAATGATACTTCAAAATAGAAATCTTCTGCTTTCTTTGAGGTTTTTTTATCACAGCACGCTAAAGAAAATAAAGCAGGCAGCAACACTCTGGCCTCGTGCTAAAACACTGCAAATGTGAATTGATCAGGGACTGCTCAGTAAAGACCAAGGGCTGATTTCCTCCACTATCTGTTATTGCTTTTCAGCACTGAGACAAAACCAACCCTTCAGAGCTGAATTTGGGGAAAACACACAGAAGAGGCCCTCCCCAGCTACCAGAGTTGCAATTTCTTCTACTAACAGGCATTAGGTATCACCCTGGGGTGTCGGGGTGCATTGCTGCAGCACAGTCTCAGACAGGAGTGATACGGACATGGAAGTCATCTCAGCACTGAGAGAGCCAGTTATGCAGTTGGCTGCTATTTCTCTGAAGCTCTGTCTGCCAGCTCCTGGGCTGCCTTAATGTCTTGGAAAAGCAGAGGTGTCTCCACCATGGCTTGCCCTCTGGGAAAACATCCACACAGCCACCTGGAAGGATACGGGGTGACAGCCTGTCTGCATGTGACTGTGGCTAGGGAAGGGGGAAAGCTCCTGCTACCCCAGCTGAAGGGTAAGAAGTGCATGAAACACAGACTTCAGCATCACAGCCCTTCAGCAGCAGTGCAGCCACCTGCCCTCTCCTTTCCCATATCCACTGCAATGGAACACAGGCAGACACTGCAGATGAGCTCTCGCTCTGGTCCCACTTCTCCATCTGCTGTAGCACCCACACACCTCCCAGGATCACATTCACAGCCCCAGCATCCCAGCTGAGACCTGGTTCAGACCCTGCCTCAAACACCCCCAAAAGGAGAATCAGGGTGAACCAAAGAAGGTTTGGGATCTGCACATCCTGTCCCTCTTCAGGTAGTGAGGCTGAAACAGTGCCCATGCAGGCATGGGAGCTCCTCTGGTGCTGCAGTAGCTTTAAAGTGTTTGCTTAGATTAGAAAAAGAAATGCAGATTAAGTGAGGATTAACTAACACACACCAGGCTAACCTGGACACAGACTTTCACTTTTGACTTTGAGTCAACCTGCTAAATCCATGTCCACGGTGTTACAAAACATGGACAAGAACACAACAGGCAATGCTAACCCAAACCCAGCTCTCTCCTGCCAAGTTGTGACAATCACCCTGCCTGCAGCACAGCATCAGGATTCCCAGAACAAAAGGGCAGCCCCAAAAGTAAAGATCACAACTTTCAAAGCAATGTTTTCAGCTGGAAATAACTGCGATGGGAGGTGTTCCCGCTCTGTGCTGCTGGACCTGGCACTGCCTAAGCTGGTGGGGCAGGTGGATCAGGGAAGCCACCACTGCCAACCAGCAGAAGTGTCCCACTGCAGGGTGTGGGAGGGAGGACTCGCAGGGCAGCAGAGAAAGGGATCCACTGGAAACAGCAACTACTCTGGTGGGGTGGGTGAGTCAGCTTGGAAAGGAAAGGAGATGGAAAGAATTGTGGTTCCTTTGCTTGGGCACCTTGTCCAGATTTTTGTCTCATCTCTTCCATCCTTCATTTCAAGACATTTCTCCCTCATTTTCATGCCTGCTGGAAGAGCTCACAAACACTAACAGACATACAAGTCCCACCCAACCCCTCCAACCTGGTAAATCGCTTGTAAAACCAAGAGTAAGGGATGAAAAGCTAGCTGGGGACTAGCAGGGAATGAGCACACTTTATATCTGCATAGCATATTCTTGCTCCCAGCAGCTCTGTGCACTGGGACAGGGAGAAAGCAGCACACAAGTGTCTGCCTGGGTGCTCTGATGGGCCCATTTTCACCCACGGGAGGCCACTCCACGGCAGCAGTGAAAGCAGGACCCCCTCTCACCAGGCACAGTACGGAGCTGAGCCAGGCAGGGTTGCATGGAGGGCAGCAGGGTTTGGGTTCAACAGCCCCGCAACCACCCAGCTCTGCTCAGCAGGTACCTGCCCTGCATCTACCAGAACCTGCTGGAAGCCGTTTCCACAAGCCTTCAGGCACAGCCACACACACAAGGCAGTTCAGCTTTCACCAGCTGTCCAGCTCCTGCCCTCAGCCTGATCAAACCACGCCACAGGGCAAGCCCAGGGACAGGAGCACATCTGCAGATGGATTTTATGGGAATCCCAGCTGGGACAGTCAGGATTCACCTGCCTCTGAAAGAGGAGGACCAGAGAAGGAGCCTCCAGCATGAGCAGCCTTTCTGAATCTGAAACCCTTCAACTCTGGCTTCAGCTCAGCAAAGGCTTTAAAAGCCAAGGTTTGCCTTCTGCCCAGCACCCTGCACCTCACCACGTGACAAGTAAGGTCCTGTCTGGTGTACAGGGAGGCATCCCACATGGGGGAAAGCTGCAGGGGAGCCAGGCACTGCCCACCTGGGCCATGCTGTTCAGCATCTTAGAAACACCCCCATTTCCTTACATATCTTGCCTGCTGATTCCAGGCCAATCTTCCCATGCACAGCAGGTACTGAATACCACCACCCACATGCCTCTAATTTCAGGTGACCTGCTTCATAGCTAGAAAATGTCAGGACAAATCAGGAGCCTGCCTCCAAGATTCCTGCCTCTTGCATAAGGCAGCCCACCCCACCTCCCTCCCATTTGGCACTGCACACAAGCAGCAGCTCCATACCCAGTGGGAGCTGGTTCAATCCCTTGCACGCTACCCAAACCAGAAATGCAGATGTTAAAGGAGCAAGGCAGAGGGGATTCTAGCTCTCAGGGGGGCAAAGAAGGATGAGGAGCAGGGGAGAGACACACTTACGTAGTATTTGTCATCGTTCTCATTGTAAGCCAGCTTCACAACCCCGTAGGAACCCTAAAAATAAAACACACGTTGCACAGTCAGTTCATCAGCTTCACCTTGTCTCCTCGCTGCTCAAGGCTGGTACACCGTGGCTGTAGACAGGGACCAAAAAGCCCACCTTCAAGGTCCCAGACTATGCCTACCCCTAAGCAAAATCTACAGGTGATGAGAACCCACAGCAAGGTTGTATGCTTTGGCAGCTCTGTTGGAGCCCTGGGGCATTTGAGGATTAACAATGTCTGAAGGAGTTGAGTGATAGCCCATCCTGCCCTGTGCCAAAGCCAATGTGTCTGTCTTACCTCAAACGTGGGTGGGGAGCAGAGAGAATCATTGCCAAGCAGATATGTTTTGTGCAAGTCTGGAAATTCTGCATGACTCCCTTTCCTGTACTTGTGCACAAGACCACTGTCAGCACAAAACCTCTGTATCTCTTGAGAGCAAATGGAGTTCAGTGAGGAGCAGCCGCCTGCTTCACACCAACTGCATGTTGACCAGGCAGATGAAGACCTGGATTGCTGCTGTAACCACAGCTCCAGTGACAGCTTGGAGCCAGACTCCATCCAAATCACTATGGTTTTTTTTCAGTTCTATGTCAACACTATACATTTTATGCAAGCAAGACATGACAGCATGGCTAGGTACCATCCCTGACAGATACCTGGAATGGTTTGGGTTGGAAGGAACCTTAAAGCTCATCCAGCTCCAACCCCTGCCATGGGCAGGGACACCTTCCACTAGAGCAGCTTGCTCCAAGCCCCTGTGTCCAACCTGGCCTTGAACACTGCCAGGGATGGGGCAGCCACAGCTTCTCTGGGCACCTGTGGCAGTGTCTCAGCACCCTCACAGGGAAGAGCTTCTTCCTAATCTGAATCTCCCCTCTTTCAGGTGTCTACTGAATAAATGAGTGGAATTAACACTATAGCCTTCAAAACATATCTCTTGACCTCACTAAGAGCTGGAATGTAGCTCCTGTTCTCAGAGGAGACCAACAAGCCATGCAGATGATCCAGAAGAACAGCAGGCCCAGTAGACTCTCTACCAACCTCAGGGTGCCTGTCTGCTCACTGTGACTCAAAGGGAAGGAGGAGGTAGGGCAAATCCACCACAGAAAAGGCCTCATGCTCTCCTTAAGTCATACTTAAGCCAACAACAAAAGCCATAAGCTGTGTGTGAGTTTCAGATAACATCGACTGATCTGCTGTACCACCAGCAGTGGTATCTCCATCCTTACCCGCTGATGCCAGCAGCCAAACGCACAGCCTACTGCACAGATGGTAAGGTGCCTCCTCCCATGGCCTGGGGCCTTCTGCTTTGGAGAGGAGTTTGTGCTAATGAAACTCCTGGTGAAGGTCCCTACAGCTCAGGCTGCAGTCCCCTCTGACTGCAAACATAAGCTTCCAGACAGCACCATCGCTCATGGCCCCATCTGCAATGGTGGCAGACATCCAAACATGCAGGTGTCTGAGCTGCTCACCAGCCTAGACCTCTAAATAACTTTGGAGTTATTAGAATCAGTCTGCAGCTTTTAAATGCGGTCTAGAATTAAACTAGTTCATTGATGGACATAAAAACTTAAACTCATCCTGGGGGTGACCAAACACCTGCCCTGATCTTTGTTTGGTTTTCTTTCTTTGATGGGTTGTATTAATGCGTCAGAAGCTGTTAGTGTGACATTTGGCAAGCAAACCCCCTGGAAGGGAGCCAGCTGAACAACCTGCACAGGGAAGGAAGGTAAATTTAGCTTTCAGAGGAAGTAGCTCCACTTTGACCTTGAACAAAACTTGCTCAAACTAATAAGGCATAAACCAAAGAAAACACTCCCAAACCAAACACAGGGTTTGGCCTTGGCCAGTAAGATCCCTTAGCCTGGCACAGTCTTTCCACTCGTGTGTACATGCAGGTTGCTTGTGACAAACATCAGCTCCGGGAACTTACCTTGCCTATTTCACTCTGCAGCTTGTACTGGTTTAACTGCACACAGTCCTGCAGATCAAAAGAACATAATTAAAGTGCTGGTAAAAGGAAACGACTGAGTTTGAATCACTATCAAGTAGAGGCAGAGTGCTGAATAATGAAAGACTAAATCTCATTTAAACGGGTATGCGTTACACTAGAAACACTTTTTATTTTACTGTGCTCAATACCAAGCAGGAAAACACCTGTCCCCAGCTCCACGGAGCTCTCGCAGCTCCCAGGGACTCACTCCAGCCCCAGGGTCACAGCATCAGCCTGGCAAAGACAGGGACCCTCTGTGGGCTGTGTGCAAGGGCTGTGCCTGCACCCAGGGGAGCCCTCATCTGGACCATGGGCTGGTCTTGGAGGAGAGCACATGGATCCAAGCTCCTCCGCTGTACCACACAAACAGTAAAGGATTCCTTTAAAGGGGATGTGGTAACATACATGACCCCTAAGCAGGTCTGATCCTTGCGTGCAAGCTACCCAGCACTGAAACCCCAAGGGGTGGGAAGGTGGTGGATGCTGCAAGCTGTGACAGGGCTGTAATGGTGGGGTGCTAAGTTACTCAGTGACCAGGAGCATCACAGGGAGTGATGGTGGCCCCAGGCATCCACCACTGGAAAGCAAGGTGGAACAGAAAAGCCAGGCACTTACCTGGTATTAAATCCACCCTTCCTTAGCATTGTACTACCTAAAGGAAAACACTTCCACAGAGCAGCAAAAGCTCCACAGCTCTGTTTCACTGGGAGCTGACACTTCCACCCTCATTAGTTACAAGCAGAAACCCCCAGATGCCACAGAAGCCCTGGGGGGCTCCAGACCGTGAGTGCAGTGTGGGCAGAGCACTCTGCCTGCACCCAGCTCTGCCTGCACCAGGCTCTGCCTGCACTGCCTGGCTGCTGGGGAGCACCTAGGGACCTGCCCGCCTTGGCCACCACAATGGGGACCATGGGGAGAGCTCACACCTCGCTGCAGTGCAGAGCTGCTGGCAAAGAGTCAGAGCACTCTTATGGGGATCTCTGCCATTGTCTGGACTTCACACACAGCACTTACCTGCACTGCAGGGGCAGGGAGAGCCCCAAGCTCGGTGGGGTGAGAGAAGGGCCCCTCTGAGATGGTGTGTGCTCAGCTTTAGATGGGACATGCTTCCCCACACACAGCACACACTACTTGTCCCTGAGACTGCCAAGCACTAAAAAGGCTGGAAATCCACTTCCAGCCCCTGCACCAGGAACAAAGCTGATATAAAATACACAGACAGGTAGATTAGCCTCCCCATAAACCTCAAAATAGCCCTGCAGTCTGCAGAAGTAGTGCCAGGACAGAAAAGCTGGGCCAGACGCCTTCAGCAAGATCAAGGGGTGTTACAGCCTTGGCCCCATGCAGAATCCCCATCCTCTGCCTCTCAGGATGCAATAGAACATGGACATGGTAGATGGTATCTTTTACTTTCCCTACCATCACGAACAGAAGACACTCTTAACACAAGCAATCATCACAGCGAAGGAGAACACAGGAATGGTGAAGTGATGACTTTTTAAGCTTGCAAGCACTGGCTTGTCAGGAATACAAGGAATTATTTCAATCTTAATCTTGTTCTCAGTAAGGAAAGCTTTTTCTACTGCTCTGACAGGGAAGAGGAGCCAATTGTGAGTAATGAGCCTGTAGAAGTGTATTAACTCTGCTGCTAGCAAAGCACATGTCATTCCAAAGGCAAAACCCAATACATCTGAACTAAGAGCAACAAGACAGGTGAGAACAAGACCCAGCAAAAGCAAAGATGCAAAATACACGGCCAGTGCAAAACTGCAGGGATGAGGAAATGCTCACCAGAATGGCAGGAAAAGCCAACACCCTCTGAGAAAGCCTCCAACCACCTCAGTACCTCCTGCTCCTGCAATGACCAGGTCCTGTTACCAAGCCTCCTCCCCTAAGTCAGGGTTACTTCCATAAGTAAATACAGCCTTTTCCATGTAGCTATGGACAATTTGGTCTGCACTCAGTACTGCTTCAAGCCAAGGTGACATCTCTAAAGCACCAAGTCTGCTGCTGCTTCTTGCCAACACACTGTGAAGCCCCCCAGAAAGAGGAGAGCCCTTTGTGAAGGACACGGTCCATCCAGTGGGCAAACCCTCTTCCAAAGCTTTTAGTGCAACCGAGGAGGGACTATTCCTTGTCCCTGTGTCCAAGGCACCAATTCCTTTGACTCTGATCATCACCTTCCCACCACCCCTCATTCATCACCACTCTCATCCTTCACCAGACTGATCACCTGAAATATCTCTCTAGTTCTTCACTGTTGCTAAATAGAGCTTGTGAGCAATGCCAGGACACCCTTTCACCATCATCTGAGCTTTTCCCATGCTTCAGCACTTGAGCTGAATGTAGCAAAATCAAAACAGATTATAGGTGTCTTCTGCCTTTATTTCCTTGGAGAAAGCCCATAATTCAGAGCTCAAGTGACTGCTGCCACGTGTTGCTGCAGACTGGCAGGGTGATTACGATGTTATTTGGTTCTCCTGCAGGAAGTGGGATAATTGTACTGCTCCTTTATCAGAGTAAAACACTTATCTCTGGGCCAAGTGTTTCTTAAAGATAACAGTGTACAGTCCTCTTGATTTCATCACGCCAATGTATTTGCAACTGCTGCTAAATAAGAACAGAGCAAGAACTTGAATGAGATCCTTTAATGAACAGCTGTCAGCAAATCAGATTGCTGTGTCTGTCCAAGTGAGCAAGAATTATTCCACCTTAAAAAGAACCTGCCCATTTGTTCACATCTCCAAGGTATTACTCAAGAGAGGGAGGGGAGAATCAATGCCACAGAAAACAAAAACTGATTAAAAATCACAAAGCACAGTGAATGAGCTCAAACTGAAACGGGAAGTTCAGGTTAGATATAAGGACGAAGTTCTTTACTGAGGAGGCGCTGGCACAGGGTGCCCAGAGAAGCTGTGGCTGCCCCATCCCTGGCAGTGCTCGAGGCCAGATTGGACAGAGCCTTGGGTGACGTGGTCTAGTGTGAGGCATCCCTGCCCATAGCAGGGGGATTGGAACTGGATGATCTTAAGATCCTTTCCAACCCAAACCATTCTATTATTCTATGAAGCCCAGAGTCCAGGCCCAATTCCATAAATCCATTGCCACCACCACTGGGTGACAGAAACCCTGAGAAATTGGGAATTGAGCTTTGCTGTCCAGGATGAATGCAGGGATGAGGAGGAAAGAGCGAGAGCTTGTTTCCAGACTAAGCAGACTGCCCACATTCTTATATAACGGATGCATTAAAAGAAGGCAAACCCAGGAATCTGAAAAGAAGGCAGTTTTCAGCCTTTCAGAGATACACTTTAAAGAGGAACATGGGAAAGAAAATTGGGAACTAGCACCAATTTAAACTCATCCTGCCTGGAAGGGGAAGTGAAAGGAGTTCTAAAGAGAAACAAAACTAAAAGCCAGACAAGGGGTAATACAGGGGCAGCAATGAACACAATAACAAGTTATTCAGGGGAAGAGCAGGACACACAGAAAGCCCAGAGCTCATGGAGGTAAAAGAAATAAACAACATCCAAACCCAAGGGCTGAACCTGAAGCCCAGCACCATGAGTAGCTGCTGGCAGGAGCACTGGCACAAGGCAAAGCACTCCTCACACCAAAGCTGGAAGTATTCTCACATTGGCAGAGTGGTCAGAAGAATGAAAGGGGGCTGGGACCAGTGGGATGAAGGCAGCTCCTTTCCAGCTCCTCTGCAGCTGCAGCTTTGGGCTTTCTCCTTCCCTCAAACCTTGATCTTCTACAAGTTGGCAATGTAATTTTAAATAAAGGTTAATTAATACAAGGAAAAGAAGTTAGCAATGCCTGGGGGAGACTCTTCTTTGAAGAAGTGTTTTCCAAGTCTGTATGATCTTTTCAAAAGAGCTGCAGTTTGAGCACCACAGAAGAGGAGTTTGGGAGACTCGTGGAAGGGGAAGCTCTCCAGTCCATGCTGTGTAGGAGCTTGGTCCCCACCACTGCCCTGGTCCCACCTGGGTTCACCTTTGTTCACTCCTAACAAAACCAGGCAGCTCCCAGAGACTGGAGGAGCATGAGACCTGGATCAGCCTGGTGCTGAAAGATGTAGGAAGCCAAGGAAAGAAAGGACAAAGCAACCTGTTTTCCGTGCCACTGGGATAAGCCATGGACCTCAAGCTTTGGAAAATTCCCTTTGTCAGCTCATCCTCCTCCCTGCACAGCTGGGCCAGCAGCAGCTGCATCAAGGAGGGAGAATGCACTGGCCTGACTCATCTTCCCCAATTCTCCTAAAGCACAGAGGGCCCCAGCTGATGGCTGGGAGCTGGAATGACCTCCTGCTGATCCCAGAGGGTGGAGAGACCATGCAGGCGCCAGGGCTGGAAAAAACAGGGATGCCAGGGACTGGGTGGATGCTGGGAGAGAAAGGGAATGTGTGAAAGAAAAGACAACGCAGCCAGAAGAGACTGGAGAAGAGAAAGTAAAAAGCACTTAAGAGTGCTGGGAGGTATGGGGAGAAAGCCTGGAAAAAGACATCTTTTATTCTTCTTCTATCCACCCTCCAATAAGACTTCTTGGCTACCTATAAAGGTTGGTTTGGGATGGCAGAATAAAACCCCCCACAGCACTGCACTGTCAAATGCCACTTTCCGACAAGCAGCACCTCTACCCTTTCACAGATACAAGCCCTGCCATTTTACAGGGGGCAAGTTCTGTCAAACATGGTGACAAGGTGCCCATCAGGCTGTACAAACATGGTCCCAAGAGCCTTGCCCTGGAACCTACGAGCACTGGAGCATCATCCGTGCGGCAAAGCAGAAGCTGCTTTCAGCAGCCCCAGGGAAATCCTCTTGCCACACTGCCAGCACCAAGGAGCAGCTGAGAATGTCACATCAACAGAGGCAATGTGGGCCAGCAACCCAAATACTGGGACCTGTGCCTCAGCTCTACAGTTATGCACCCTTAATAGCATTAGCTTAATCACTTCTGTGCCACAGCTAAAGTAAAGCCATTCCCTTGTTAGAGCAAAACACTGATGGGCAGCAAAGGCAGCAGAAATCCCACCAGCCTCTGGAGTGCTCCAACCAGAAGGGGCAGCACTGAAAGGACCTTCCAAGGCCATAGTCCATGAATAATCCAAGAAAGCAGGGAATGAGCAGGAGACTTTTTAAACTACAGATCAGTTTTGACAGAGATAGGGCAGATCAGGTTAAGCGCACAGCAGTGCTGTGAGGAGAGCAGAACACATTACTTCTCTTGCAGAGTTAACACCACAGATCCAGACTTGGCAGCAGCAGCTGCAAGACACCAGCGCTGCCAACTGCGTCCCAGGCCATTGGGAACTGCCTCTATGCAAGACAACAAGCCCTGGCTCTGCTGCAGCCCTGCCAGCCCAGGAGCCATCATCTTCCTAAATGACAAACCCAAGCAGCCCCACTCAGAAGGCAGGGACAGGACATCCCGATGCACTGCCCACTCGCCACTGGGTGAATCCTCCTGCCGCATCACAGCCTCAGCTTCAGCTCTTGGGTCCTCTCACCCCTGAATGTAAGTTTTCCTCCCAATCTGTGAACAAATATCAAGGTAGCATTAAAAAGCTGAGCAGAGTCCCTCTGACACATGGTGCTTCCATAATTTAGCAGAGAACAACGGAAAATTCACCTCTGCTGTATCCTCATAGCACATCTCTCCATTATTCCTCCAGATTAGTCGAGGACACAGAGCTGCTGACAGCAAGCTGACACTGCTGCTATGACTGGAGAGAAAAAGCAGATTCCAGCCTAGATGGCTATCAGCACAGCACAGGAAACATTGATATGCACTGTGCCATCCATCTCTGCTCCTGATAGACAGTGCCTGCACCTGTGCCACTGATAAAGCCCAAATGCTCATCAATTTCATTTTCATTCTTGCACCCTGTGACTCACTTGGGCAGCAATGGATGAACTGCCACTTGAAAGGCACTGACTGATGGTGCTGGATACTCAATGCAAGGAGAAAGGAGCAGGTGAGAGAGCCATGGACTTGAGTACAAATGTGCAGCTTGCCTAGAAGATGTGTCAGAGTCATTTGCAGGGAAACCAGGGGCAATGCCATGATCAGTGAGCTGGATCTCGTCAGTGACCCACCAACCTCCCTGCTCATTGAGGGCCTGCACATCAAAAACATCAACAGAAAACGCAGCAGCAGCTGCTGCTCGTACACTGGGACTGTACCTCTCATCGCAGGTTTATTGTATAACCACAACTGAGGGCCAAAAGCCTCAACATGGAGTCCCCCATAACTCCTAGAAGCCCAGCCTGTACCTCCTGCTTTGGCAGTCTTTCCTACCCACATGCACAGCTTTGCTAATTGCTTAGAGCAAATGTACTGAGCAAATGCACACCACAGCTGAAGATCTGCTCTCCGTTTCTCTGTGGTCCCTGCTGTATAGCTCAGATTTGGACTGTCAGTGCCTCTCACAGCCATGAAGACAAAGACCATGCAACATAGCCTCTTAGGTAGGTCAGCCATGGGATGCTGGAGCTGGGCTGTGCGCAGACTGCACGCTCACCTTGCTGTCACACACCTAACACTTATTTTTCCTTATGCTGTGGTCAGTTTCAAACTTTCTCCTATAAGTAAGTATGCATCTTCCTAGTCCTCTTGTTATTCCTTACAGGATACAGGTACTGCCCCTATAAGCTGGGAAGATGAAGCACAGCTCCTGAGAGCACTGCTGCAAGGGCAAGCTCCCACCTCCAAACCTGCACAGCTCTCACCTGGGCTCCCTTTCCCCTCCTACCCCAGTGATTCTCCATTAATATGAATGACGGTTTCCAAGGAGCAGGGCTTTGTTAAGCATCTGGGCTGCACTGGAGCAGGGCTCTTAATAGTTATATCAGAGTGACCATTAAAAACACAGTACAGTGTAAAGAATTGCTGCAAGAGCAGGGAAGTGGAAGGCTCCACATCTGCACTTCAAACTAAGCATTTCCCACACAGTAGGCAACAACCATTGCTCCCCAGGATGCAGATGCTGTGGAAGAGGACAGGGTATTTTGGCTTTGCTTGCAGATGGGAATGTGCTAGTCACACTCGACTGCACTTCCTTTGAAACAGATTTCAGAAAAGCCACACTGCTGGCACAAAGTACTGCAGGATGGGAGAGCTGGCACACAAGTCACGTCCGCTTCCAAAACTGGCTCCTCTCCTCCCTGTCTCACTTATTAAAGCATATGGCTGCTGTCAGAGAAGCTGAAATCTCTGCAGTGCACCTTCTGTGGATATCCTCTTATCCTGGGGGGGTGGCACAGCCCATCTCACAGCTAATGTGACATGCAAAACTTCCCAGAGGACAATGACCAGTTTGCTTGTGCGCAGCACCCACCCTCTCAGATGTCCAAAGGGCAAACACTCACTTTCCAGGAGGAAAACAATAAACCACACAGATATTGAGCTCTAGGTCACTTGGCAAAAGTCTAAACTTCAGAGATATGGGCCCTTATGACCACAGTGGGATTTAGGCATCTCATCTGGGAGCACCACAGTGCCCAAGAACAACACATTGGCACAGTGGCACCAGCATAGCCACGTTCAGTAACATCTTCTTCCATCAGCTGGGTGAGGAAGAGTCAGAGCGTAGCAGCTCTTGAGCCCCTGGCTGCTGTGTTTGTCCCACTCCAGTGCCTGGACACAGCAGGAGAAGTGAATTCATGGATGAGCATTGCTGTACTTTCAGTTCTAAAAGAAAAGGATTGAAAATACCCATGAAAAGGGCCTGTCCCTCACCACAACAAGGCTCATGGTCACAAGATAAACCAGAGTCTTCTGCAGCACAGAGCAGGAGATGCAGCCCTCCCTGCAGGGTAAGGCCAGCAGGTCCATGCCACCGTTGGTTCCTCTCTTTTATGGCAGCTCCAAGTGAGACTGCAGAGCTGTGGCACTCAGAGATCCCCCTCCCCTTCCTCTGCCCTGCCCTATTCCCCAAGAGCAGAAACACAAGACAAATATGCCTGGGAATCAAATTCAGTCTGGAGAAAAACATCAAGGCATAGAAAACTTGGTTTTCCTCCACAAATAGCAGATAAAAATCTCAGGAAAGGGCACAGCCTGGACTTGGGGGAAAATTCAGGCGTAAATCCATGTTTTCTTCCCCAAACCCACTGCCAGTGCTGCCGAGATGACGCTCCCTCTCCAGTACTCCAGACAGCCCACTCCCTACTTACAGACTTTCCCCAGAGAGTAGCGCTGTACAAAACATCGTGGCTTCAAGAAGCACCCATTTTACAGCACGTCCATCACGCCTGGCTGTCAAAGGAAGCCCTGCCCCTTCCTCATGGGCATTGCTGAAGGCTCAGCGGCTCCAGCACCACACTGAGCAGCATGGTTTAAACAGCCCCCTCCCTCTGCTCCCCATCCTCTCCATGACATACAGCACAGGGAATTACAACCAGCAGATGCTTCCAACAAGACACTTGACCACTAACAGTGTGTTACACTTCAGGGACAAGTCTGAGCCCAGGTCTGGTAGCAAAGAGCTGCCACAAGATGGACAGCAGGAACAGCCACAGCCACCCTGAGAGTCTCCTCTGAAGGAGAGGAGGGTCACAGTCCTTGGTTACCACTGCTGTTACAAAAGCTTTAAAGACAAAGGGAAATCCTGACAGGAGTAGGAAGAATCAGTGCATTTAAGCTCTTTATAAAATTAAATCATGCCTTCAATAATGGCAAAACACAGTAGGAGATACATAATCTCCAGAAGCTTAAATCCATAAAATACCACCAGCAAAGCTGCTGTGACTCATAAACTCCCAAAGGGCACATACAGAAAGAACAGGAAAGCAAAGCAATCTGGGGGCAGCCCTTTCTCTGAACAGCGTAAGAGGCTTTCTGTGTGCCACTGCTGCCACTGCAGGGGTCCTGGCCCCTCAACAGAACTATCCCAGGCAGGGGAGGGCTGAAGGACCAGCACAGGTCTGGAGGATGGATGCAAAGGCCATTCCAAGCTAACACACTCCCTGGTCGCAGGGATTTTTTTTTCCTCTTAGAAGAAACACTGCTTTCAGATCTACTCCTCCAAAAGACTGAAGACACCATTACCAGTTAAGACAGACTTGCCTTGCCTTGACACCACAAGTACAGGAGAGAATGTGCCTACCTCAGAATCTGATATGGAGACCCGATTGGACTCTATTGTTGGTCTCCTCATTATACGTGGTGATGGCCCTGTGGCATAAGGACCATAACCTGGTGTGTTGCTAGAAGCCAAATAACTTCCTGATGATCTTTCCTGAAGAGACAACTTCCTACTTGATAATACAGGTCTAGTGAGAGGTCTCTTGGGAACATTCCTCCAGTGAGCATCTTCTGACCGTGGGGAAGGCGGAAATTCATTCATTCTCGTGTCACTGTTGACTCCATTTCTTTGGCTGTCTTTTAGGTTATCAGAAAAGACTGTGTCATTCTCTTCAGTGCTGCCTTCACCATTTTGGTCACTTCTGTCTGGACCAACAGCCACATCTATAGCTGCTACCTGCTCTGCCAGTTCAGTTTGTGTGTCTTTACAGCACATGTCTATACCTCCATCCATGGCATTCGCTGAAGAATCCCCCATGCCTGTGTCCAGCTCGTATGGTCTCAGATGGCACTGCAGAGAGCTGTGATGCTCACAGACAGCATCTGGCCTGAAGGAACCTCTCCATGAAATACCTAAAAGGAATAAATACAAACAGAGTGAATAATTGTATTCACTCAGCACAAGCACAACCAAGACATTCATCTCTGGCTTCTTCCAATGTAAAAGAAAGGGAAGGCAAAACACTGGCAGGTTGTAAACAAGTTGCAAACACTCAGAAGGAAAGGCAAACCTAAGCATCAGGCTAGGGTTTATGAAAGCCATAAACAGGAGATTTTATTTGATGTGCAACAAGTGACACAGCTGAAGTGAACTTCTTCTGCAGCTAGACCAACAGTCAACCAGAGCTTACAACAGTGGGAGAAGTGAACAAGCTGAGGAGAAGGGGTCAAACTTTTGACTTCTCAAATTACCTATTTATAGGGTACGAGAGCTTCTGGTATGTATCCAAACCTGACACACAGAACTCCACAGCCCTTTAGGGCTCCACAGTAGTCCCTCTGGTGCCCTGCAGGGCTCTAAAGAGTGTCACAGAATGCCCTGGAAAGCCAAGCCATGGCTGGTGACTTCCACGTTCTGTTACTTGCAATGGAGTCAACAGCAAAGGCAGTCTGGTACTAGGGCCCCCCACAGTGAGCAAACACACGTTAACCTTGCTGTCCACCATGTATAAAAGCTATATTGAGTTGCAGATCAACAATACTTAATGGTTACCAGCATGTGGGAATCAGTTTTTCCTTTGGAAAAGTCCTACAGAGCACAGAAACACAGTACAAAGCTAAAACTGCCGAATAAAACCTCATTTTCCTGGATGCTGATTTCAGACTCAATTCAAAACAGATTTCAGTCTCCCCAGCACAGTCCAGAGCAGGAAATGATGCTCTGCAGCATATGGCTGTCATCCCTTAATCACCTCTGAAGATGCAGTGCTGTAGGATGCATCCCATGGGGATAGCGGAGGAGAACTTAGTTTTAGTCCATCAGTCTGCACTGCATCCAGTGCCTTTCATTGCAGGTTTAACACTGAAATAGTGCAACCTTTGGTCCTCCACACTCAAAGCAGGTTGTGCACCAGGTGGCACTTGCATTGTCCTGTTTTCACACTGGCTACATGTAATTTACATGAGGAAGGAGAAGCTCAGCAAGTTCAAAAAGCCCCATCCAGCATCAACCTGGGGACACAGGAGGAGCTCCGAGCAAAGATTGATCCAGGATGGAAGCTGCCCAGTGATGCTCAGTTAAACACACCACAGCTGCACTCTGCTGCAAGGAGAGACCTCCCAAACCCCTGCAGAAGTGAAGCAGCCAAGCTCAAGCAATCTTTTATATCCATAAGGAAACTAGAGAAAGCTCTGGAGGCTTCACCCTGGGTCGTGCACCAGTTATAGGGGACACATGCTGGGCACTCAGTGTCACAGAAGGGAAACATCCAGATCTAACACATTCCTCCCCTCAGCCTGCTGTTCACTCCTTCCCATCCTTCTCCACCCAGGTATAACCTTGCCCCCTTCTGCCTTTTCTGAAACAAGCTGACAGAAGCGTCGCTCACTCAAACCAGTAATGAAATGGTGAGATTCGCTTTGAAAGCTTCTGTTAAAACTATATTTAAACTCTTCAATCCTGAAGCACAAATCCCTTTCAGAGCCAGGATGCAGGCGCTGGGGTGTGGCAGCAAGGGAAGGGGTGCAGGGTTTGGTCCAGCACATACTGCGTGTGGTCCCACAAACCCACAGGCAAGACCTCTTTGCTCTCCCAGGCCCCATACCAGCCTTCAAGCCAGAAACCCAGCTGTAGCCCTGAGCTGGCTCAGCAGTGATCCTGTCCTTGCAAATGGCTTTGCAGGAAGCCTGCAGAGGACTTGATGTCTGCAAAATGCTCGTGTGAGGCTTGCACTTGGAAAGCTTCTGAGCTGACCTAGGACCATCAGGTCAGGGCAACTCCAAGACTGTGGCCACTCTGCTGTCTCTGAGGAGGCTTTCCTTGTGCTCCAGAGCCTGTGGAGCAGCACATTCCTCAGCCAGACACCCATGAGGAATCCTCACGGGATGCCTTTGTGCTTGGCTCTGGGTGAAGGTTGGCACATTTCACCATTTAATGCAGATTGCACAAGGGACTGGAGGAAACCTTTGATTCCACCCTGTGCTTCTGGGTACAGAGAAACAAACTCCAGGCCTTTCCTTGCTGCAGCTTTAGCTTCTGGACAGTCCCAGCTCACCTCACTCCTAGGGAGCATCAAGCAGAAAATCAACCTGCAACTGAAATCTGCAGCTCCTCCACCTTCTTCCCTCCTGCCTGCAGGAGCAAGGGGACGGAAGCATCTCCCACGTTGCTGCAGGGCTGGCTATGAAAGCCCATAGATCACCCACCTGGATTGAGCACTCGGGCATCTCACACTGCTGAGGCAACAGGAATAAAAGCCAGAAGCGCTGGGAACAGTGGCCAGGTCCTGGCAAACAGCAATGTTCTTGCTAGTGCAGCTCTTCCCTGCCCAAATGAGGCACCCCAGGGTGTCACCCCCTCAGAAGCAGCAGCACACTTGTACAGCTCTAACATACAGCTCAGGCTGCAAAACAAAACTCCAGCTAAACGACAACTTAAACTTAAGGTAACCCCCCCATAAATCAGTTCATCTGATCAAAACAGACCCAAACAGCATCACAACAAATAATACAAAGCTGCTAAAAGTATGCTAAAATAGACTTAAAAGCACATAATTGTTCATCTGGAGAGCTGGGCTCTATTTCAGGTTCTGCTATTCTGAAGGATTCCTTTTCACTGACAAACCCTCCAGAAGCGTATTGGAAAGCAATAGCTCCTGAATAAACAGATCAGTTACACACAGACCAGCTTTACTGTGCATAAAACTCAGGACAAAAGGCAATTATTTACTTCTGCAAGGCAAAATCAATGGGGGATTTGCAGTTAGTGATGCTGTCACACACTGACCGTGCTGTGATGGGAAACCCCATCGGAATGGAGACACCATCACCACCTTCCACAAGCTCCTGTGCAGCTTTGGGCTCGATGCTCTTCACATGGTCACCAGCCTGATCCCCCCCACACTAAACATCGCTGTAGCTCAGAGGATTAAGCTGCAGACACGAACCAAAGCTGAAAACAAGCTTATATGAGCAAAATTAATTTACTGACACATCTCTTCTTTGCCATTTTCCCCTGTAGCTGTTCCTGTGCTGCAGACAGACTAAAACTTCCACGCTGTTTTTCACAATGCACTTATCAAATGGCTGCACATTTCCCAGCCAGGCACATGGAACAAAAAAACGTTTTGAAAGGAACAGGACTGTGGAGAAGATCTGTCAGTGCTGTACGTGGGAGTGGGGGATGAGCACATGCAAGTGATTGTGCTGCTCAATAAAGTATTTCAAAGCGTTGTTTGAACAATAAAATATCATAAATCTCATTTATTGCTTGGTCCATCCATTTGGCTAACTAGAAATGTTGCTATGAGAAAGGACAGGGAGGTTCAAAGGTGCTGGGCCTCAGCAGATCCAGCTTCAGTTCCTGATTTTGCTACAGACCATCCAGAAAAGTGACTTTACTGCTTGGTCTGTCACAGTTCCCAGGTTAAAAGGAGCGATGCTGCCCTCAGCCCACTTTGTCCTGCTTTCCTTTCTGGTTCTGAGAATACAACTGCCCTGTGCTGAGGCGCCAAGTGTCTCTGCAGTAAAATAAGTCACAGTGAGTGATGACTACAATGCATATTCGCATGGAAAGTGTTCAGGCAGCAGTTTTGCTGCTGTTCAGAGCTGGAGACCTCTTAGATGCCTGTGGATGGCATCCTCCATGCCAGCACGCAGAACAGCAGAGATGTCACACAAACTTGGGATGAAGGCCACATCCACTAGACTCCCCTTGACCACGCAAGACCCACAGGCACTCTCACAAAGAGAAGTACCAAAGATCACGGAAGACTTCAGTCTGCTGCTTTAGTGTACAGTAGCAAAGGCAGGAGTCCAGTCAGGTCATCTAACTGCTGTAGCTAGCCATGCACCAGGACAGGCTGCTTGCAGAGGGAATGTCATCTCCATCACCAGCATCCTTCAGCTCAGGTCAGACCCTCACCAGGAACTCAGTCCTGCACTGGGGGAGAGCTGACCTGCACACCCAGCTCTATCTTCTATCATCCAGAGCTTGTTGTTGTGTTTCCTTCAGATGCTGCCCCACAGCACACAGCCACGATGAAGAATCTGCTCTGACTGCTGTCAACCAGCACCAGAAACTCCCTTTAAGGAGAGAAGCAGCAAGTCCTGGGCTGAGCTGCCAAGCCCTGAACAGCTCCTCGAATGACATTTCAGAAATATTAGGTCAGCAAGTCCCTTCCAGAGCCTGAGCTGTCTCCCCACACCAAACAGCACAGCCTGGGACTATTTCCACCCCAGAGTCTCTCCTGTGCTCCCTGTTCTGCTGTGGGGTCTGCAGGACTTCCCCATGCACTCAGCATTAGTCCACTACCCTGACATGAGGGAGGTAATTCCAGCTCCCACCCTGATCCCATCAACTTCTTATACATGGGGAGGCACTTGCCTGAAGTCCGGCCAGCTTCTTCCAACACCTTTGTCTGGAGAAGCTTTAGGAGGACTTGTTCCCACAGCCATGCACTGGAGGAACATCTGAGCTGCCCCCAGCCCCACAGCACAATACGGGGCTCTTCAGATCTAAGGAGCCAGCCACTTACTGGCTGTCACTGCTGCAGTGTGAGAGCAGCCAGAGGGTTCAGCTTTTCTGCAGCAACTCAATTCAGAGCACGCTGACCTTCATCTCAGCTCTGCTACTTCAGGGCACACCAAGCAGGGCACCTGAAGATGGGATTGCCTCCAGCCAACCTCCACTCACAATGCTGCTGCCTCAGAGAAGCACAAGAGCTTCTTGGCATCTGGGAAAACCACTTTCAGCCATCCACTGGCCAAAAGACAGCCCAAACCAAGCAGCAAAGAACAAGTTGCAGCTCTGTGAAGCCAAAAAGAAAGCAAATCCCTGCAGCCCTTGCAGAGATAATCAAGACAGATGTACACCAGCCCAGCCATTTGGGTTGTGCTCTTGCTGGGAAGAGGGT